TGTGTACACCTCCATTGTTGCCTGTTTGTCGTGCGATCACTCAGCCCTTGAAGCGGTGTTGTTTTTGGCTGAGGCTTATTCCTTTTTGAATAGCAGAGCGCATGCACAAGTACAAATTAAATTTCAGCAGATCTCGAGCTTCAATTTTTTCCCCCCAGACAAGCAGTATCCGCAATAGGAAACCCAGGTAATTAGCTGAATATTCGTGACATGCTCCCAAGGGAATGCTCCATCGATGTCTGTTTAAAATGCTAATGCAGTGGTGTCGTTTAAAGGTTAGTTTGACATTTCGAAATACTGTACAGTACTGTGGAAACCTACAATGTAGTATATTTTTAAGGCGTTCACTTCAACAATGTACAGTCACTACACTACAGTAAAACAATAATAATACTCCTTGCATTTGATACAGCGCCTTATCACGTCATTGAGACGTCTCAAAGCCCCTCACAGAATATACCAATACTGTGTATTTCTTATTTAAAATCCCGTGAAGTGCTTTTGAGACGTCCTCACGACATGAAAGGCACTTTTTCTAACTCAAGGATTATTATTATTATTATTATTATTATTATTATTATCATTTCGTCATATTTGTTTCAAGGATGTATCCAATTCACTTTTAAAAGAATTTCTGCCATTTTAAAGGTACATTTTTCGCAGGCTGGGGAAAAACATATTTTTCGAAACTAAAGTCAGTGTTTTCACTCCCGATAGATTATCTCATTTAATAAATGGTCAAGAAACTCCCCCCTGTAACTTTCAACGCAGTTTTTATGTGGGCTAACCTGGGGCGCGTGTTAGCGCACACGCCATCAAAATTGGTACGCAAAGCGTCTGTTTTTTTTAACCCCGCAGAGATTAACTGCCCGAACCACTAGTTTTTTTTGAGAAGTGTCAGTGATGCTTTGAAGTCAACGTAACTTGTCATGTTAACAGTAACAGCTCCCAGTGCAATCTGATAGCAGAGCTTGTACAAGTGCCAAAATATATCAAACCGGGGGATACGAAATTAGTCCGTTGAATTAATGGAGCCCCCACGGTTGGTGCCTATAACTATAACTAGTTCAGGATGACCGGTTTCACTACACGAGTGTGCTGCCGTGTGGCTCACCTCAGGGGCGTTGGCTGGTTTCCTTGCTGCAAAATGACCTGGAATGTCCCCCAAGCAGCCATGAAGTGAATAACTCATTTGATCAGGTACAACAATAATATCGATAATCCTTGCATTTGATATTGGCGCCCCATCACGTCGCCGAGATGTCTCAAAGCGCCTCACAGGATATACTGTAAAGCGGATCGACTGTATATTCTGTGGGCGATCAAGTCATTAGCATCCGTTTTGAGTCTTGCTATTAATTAAAACCGAGCTATAGACTCACTCTCTATAGAGTGCGTCACGAAAGTGCAGGACGGTTTAACAAAGTTCCCCTTCATAATGGTGACGACTAGAGAAAGTGTGTGGATGCAAGAGCTTCAGTACTTAACTAATTGAGAATCCGCTGTGTAGGTAATTGATGCAATGGTTTGCGATTGCTATCAGGCGATCTAAATCGCCGCTGTTTTCGTTGACTCGGCCCCACTTTTCTTCCACCATTTCAGCACCGTGGAATTTCTTTTGTCAGATTTCTCCCAATCACAGCAGATTCCAAAGGGGTAACGTCAAAGTGCAGTGTGGACGCAGCAGAAAGTAATTAAGGGATTAAGGCCATTATGAACAGCATCTGCTGCGGGGCAACAGCCCCGACCATTGAAACCACCGTGCAGCGGTCACCAGAGCTGTCTCTAACCCACTCTTCACGACTCGCACTCTGCTGGAGCATGCGGTAATTCTGTATCACGCATGGTCCTGTAAACCATGAAAACACTGCACGACTGACAACCTGTAGTGACTGTTTCTGATCAAAAACTACGGCTGTTACTATTAAGCCTGACAACTGATATATTGCCTTTCATGTCATGACGACATCTCAAAGCACTTATCATAGAATCATCGAATATTACAGAAGGAGGCCATTCGGCCCATCGTGCCTGTGCCGGCTTCTTTGGAAGAGCTGTCCAATCAATCCCACTCCCCTGGTCTTTCCGCATATCCTTGGAAAAATTTCCTCTTCAATACCTATCCAATTCCCTTTTGGAAAGTTGTTACTGAATCGGTTTCCACCGTGAATTCAAAATCAGGGGATTTTATTTTATTTGAAAGGGTGTGACTGTATTTCCAGGCAGACGATTCGCACGCAGCAACGTCCCACAAGCAGCGAAGAAGTGAATGGTCAATTTTATCCGGGGGAATACTGACCAGGACACCAGGAGAAACTCCTAGTGCCATGCGATTTTTAACACTCACTCAAACAAGTAGACTGTTTAATGTCTCACCAAAGGAGGTTACCACCAACAATACCGCGTTCCTCCAGCACTCGATTGGAGTGTCGGCCTGGACTATCTGAGTTCAAAGTCCTCAAAAAATCTAGAGGCGGGAATGCTACCAATTGAACCAGGATGATATCTGTCCAAGTGAACAACAAAACATAATTTGGAAAGAGATTTGTAGCCAATTGAAAAAGGCAGATGGAGTATAACAGAATAGGGAACGAAAACTCTTAACATGTTCTGACCGGCCAGTCGTTGCTCAACCCATAGGGCATCCATTCTCAATCCCGAATCATTTTCACTTGACATCTTGCTTTATTTTGTTTTACTTCAATCTATGTCTGTCCCAGTAATCCTCTAATCCCTTCTGTAATGACTCACTTGTCTAACTATTTCTTAAGTGAGCTAATGGCTAATGCAATAAAGTGCCTGTGAGTGACAGCCCATAGACCGTTTGTACAAATGTTTATAAATAAAAGGTCACAGCTGTTTAAATTCCTAGATGTTTAGATTCGGCCATTTCCTGTGCTTTCTCTTTGTCTGCTCCCTATATATACATTATTATTAACGACCTTGGTCACATTAATCCAATTCATGCATAATGTTAAGTATTCCACGCCAAACACACGGACATTCCCATGTGCAGGTGGCATAAATGTCTGGTATGGCTATTCTTAAGTATGATGATGGTTCTCCTCAAGTGTCAGACGCCCGGCCGACCAAATATTTTGTTGGGCGAGTTTCCTCACTCCACACGCCTGTTTACCCAGCATTAAAAAGGAACCCGGTGGTTAGTCGATTGGCAGATCGCTTTTCCGGAGATAATAATCCCTCGAAAGAAATAATAATTTGGTCACTTCAATCCACGACTGCTTGTGGGACACTGCGTGTAAATTTGACTGCTGTGTTTCGCCCACAAATATACGATCAATTCCCTTTACAGTATATTCTGTGAAGCTCTTTGAGACATCTAGAAGACGTGAATAGCGCTATATCAAATGCAAGGATTATTATTTTTCTACCAATCAAGCTCCTTTTCAAGCCCAATGCACGTACGTTGAAAAATGAAAGAGTGTGGTTGTGAATATAGCAGACCAGGACTATCTTTTAAGATTTTCCAGCTACTGTATCCTAAACAAATGCTTTAATTCTGGCAGCGTATGCCATTTCTCCTCCCTCCGTGCATCTGTATATTTAATTTCCCACAGCAGCCAACCTCCGTTGTCTTGATCTTGATTAGTTAGGGCTGATGTACGGCCGCTATTGTGCTGTAGATTAATGCTCACAAAAGCAAGTGGGTCAGAACTGCCAGAACCCAGATCCAATTAGGATACTCAACAGCAGGAGCAGACTTAGATGCCATCTGTCTCCGTTACATTAAGGCTTGGATCCCAGAGGTAAGCCAACACCATGCTAACTCATTACACAATCCAATTTTGTAGATGCCAGTGTTTGAGATCATTGAAGCAGCTGGACTGTTAACTGGTTGATAGGAACCAAATCATTTGAAACCCCCTCCCCCCCCACACCCATTGCTCTTATGATTGGTCATACAATAGAATGCATAGATCTGAATTAAATCCAAACAACCAGTGTTTCACCTAAGAAGAAGAAATTGGATCTAGAACATGCGGATAAAGATGTATCGGATAGCTAACCTTCAACGTGACATTCAATTGTAAAAAATAGCCTATCTAGCACTCAGCAATAATACTTGTCTTTCAGTCAGTTGGTTCAACCCCATTTTGGGATCATAAAGGTGGGAAAACCAACAACATTTATAGTGCATTCTTCCCGCAGGATAGTCTGGGAGCATTGGGCAATGGCAGGGTTGGACACCAAGCGAGAAAGGAGAGGTGACCATAGGCACCGGTGAAGAGGTAAGTTTTAAGGTGGGATTTAAAGATAAAAAGGGACTGAGGCAGGGAGAAGGAACAGAGGATGAATGTTCAGCATAAAATGCAACAAGTGGAATGTGCAGGAATGATATATCATATTCAGTTGACAGTAACAAGCAACACTGAACATTTATTCCACATTTTTCCCACTAGTGTTTCTTTTCTTGCTTCAGTGTTCGAATGTACATTTTCTCCAAATGAACAATGTGCCTTGTGACGTCCTCCCGACGTGAAAGGTGGTTTACAAATTTAATTTTGTTGTTGTTGTTGATGTGCAGGCAGGATTCAATGTGGTAGTATGACAGCAATCAATTGGCAGATTATAGATTTGCTGGGCTAATCCTGCATAACTATGCAATGCAACTGGATCTGGACAGCTTTCAGAGAAACGTTAAGCTTTGGTTAGGGTTATCTTTTAAGATGATAATCAAGAGATTCTGATTAAATTAAACTGAATTGAAACATTGCAATTAAATTCCAACCTGAGGCAGATTTCCGTACGCTTTTTAACTAGGCTTGATTATATGTCTAAACAATTGTGCGTGCACAGTTTAGTTACAGTTAACAATTGATTGTATTTTACGAAAGCTTGATTCTTTCTGTATTTTGAACTCTCTTGAGTTCTTCAGTAACATGGGCAATTTGTTAAATAAGCTGCAAAACCTTTTTTTTAAGAAGCCCAAGTTTAGCTATATTTAATACATTACAAATGATCAATTGAACTATTACAGGTGAATTTTAGAAAAAGCATTTTATTATCTCTTCAAAAGATACAGACAGCTGCCTCACTGGGAGCAGCACCAAACGACAAATTAAGAGTCAACTGCCATCAAAGAACCCTTCCAAAATTATCTTGGGGCGTCTACTGATCAGATACTTCATTCCCAATTCCTTTCAATAGAATATATAAATAGGTTATTGTTCACCTCGAGGCTTTTTTTCTGATCATAACCTTTTTCCAGCATCAATAAGTTTAAACTAAAATAAATATCACTGCTAATGATGTTGTAGCAACCGTCTCTCTCTCTTTTTTAAAACTACACGTGTGAATAACCAGAACACATCAATAGAGTTCTTTGCTTTCAGTCTTCCAGGCGAGTGCAAAATACAGAGGCTGAAATCAAGGCAGCTTTTCATCCCCTTGTAGCTTTTTAATTATGAGGCAATCTGTAGGTGCATCTGTGAAGAGACTTCCCACAAATGCGTGGGCTCCCCAAAGCATGTGTTGAATAACTTTACAGCAGCCAAGATCCTCAATGCAAAAGCCCAAGTGCTGGTAGCGTTCATCTGTTTCAAAGAGTGTCTTATTTGTGTAGGATCCGAAATACTGAAAGAAAAGAAAAATATTGAAACACATGAAACGCATCCCTGAATAAGGCGATATTTTTTTCTCCGACATTTCAGACAACAAAGAGAAATCTTTCCGATAGCTTTTAGTTTAGAGTTGTCCAATATGTTGGCCAACTGGCCATACGTAATCAATGGCAGATAAAAGTGGCCAATTGAGGTATAGGCAGTCTTGGCAACAAAAGAGCATTACAAACGACAGAAAAGATTCACGTAAATGCTGGAATTCTCTAGTAAGTCTAGTGGTACGACTTAAAATCCACTCACAATGGTTGTTGCGAATGGATATGGTGTGATAAAAGAAGTAAATCATATCAGAGAAACATTAGCAAACATCAGATTAGTTCTCATTTATCTCATCGGTGGGTGCAAGACATGGCATTGCTGCAAAACAATTTTGCTGTTTTGTGTGTGAAGAGCTTCAAGAAGTTCGGATATGATAAGGCAATACCTCAACCGTAAATTTTAAGGAAGAAAACCTAACATTATGATACGTGAAAACAATCTAAAGGCTCAGAGGAATCTCGAAAGAAAGTTCCCACCTCAGCACAAAGAAAGTTCCCACCTCATACCCATATATATCGGTAATTAACCGAGCAAAGTCCTGATTTTGGTACACAGCAAATTAAAAGTGACACACTCTTTGAAACCTTCATTGCTCCACGAGAAAGTTACACGCAATCCTCTCCGACTGGGCTATTCTCCAGAGCATATTAATCCATGGTTCACTGATGGAGACTCCAACTTGTCACCACAGCACTAGAATACATTGACGGTGACATGCATATAAAAGGAGGGCCATTGACCTATCTATGGGTAGGTTGAGCGGCACATTCATTGAAATCAAGCAGACAAAGTTGTGGGTCTAATTGACGAGGGAATCCCGTCTTGGAAATACAAGCGGGGTACCATTCCCCTACCGGGCTGCCATTTTGAATGTCTAAAAAGATTGCAAATGCACAATCACTTCGAACCTCAATTCCCAGGAAAATGTGTTGTACAGTCACAGGCATGATATTCTCATTATTGCATCTGTCACATTAGTACAACTCAACATGGAGAGAGAGAGAGAGAGAGGTCAAAGGGAGATGTCAATTGACTGGGTTAGCGAATCAATTTGCTAATTCTTTAAATACGAAAGAAACATAATTCAAAAAAGTACTTCAGCTCGAAAGAAGGAATCATCTTTCCACTCCCCACTCTCAGCTCAGGTGCCCAGTCAGCATTCTCAAACACTGTGAGACAGTGCTAAAGGTACTATATTAGTGTAAACCGTATTATAGTGTTGCATGGCTGAAAACAGCTCACCTTAATGTCACGCAAGCCTTTAGACCTTTCGTTGAAGCTTACTTAAAACTGAACAGGTTTGAGGTGTAGGAAACACAACAGCCGTAAGTAGTTGTTGACAAGATTCTGCAGAACAGACTCAACTTTTTTTGGTTGATGTTACATACAGTGTTCGTTGTCTGCTTAATACCTTTCCATCCATCCCTCAAAGACCCTCGGACCTGATAAAATTCTCTTCACGCAAGCAAAGACCTGATAGTATTTACGGCTATCGTAGTGGTGGGATTTATTCAGTCCTTTCAGATCTTAGCCTTATATATTTGAGTGACCAATGCGAGAAAATTAAAACACATCCCTGATGTGAGAAAAAGGAGTTTGCTGGGAAACAGAAATGCTAAAGCAGGATTGCTGTCCCTGTTAACAAGAAAGTTCTGCTTTTCTAATATAAACAACTCCATGAATTCAAGGACACTTACGGCGACACCTGAGGAAGGATCAATGAAGTCAGCCCAGTAGCCCTCTGAGCGCAGGGCATAGCAGATCTCCTTGGCACCATTAATAAACTGTAAAACAAATAATTAAAATAAAACACTTAGTTCAAAATTAAGACAGTTCGAAATACAGCAATTTTGTCAATTTGAGCTCAAAGCACTACAGTAAACAGGCAGTGAGCCACGAGTGACGTGTAAGGTATACAGAAATGTAAGTTGTTGAGTGGTGCGTTTAAAACTTTTTCTGTAGGAAGGGCACTATATAAGTAAAAGTTGTTCTTGCTGTAAATGGAAAATAAACCTAAATTTAAACTTGGCGTTAATGTGACCTCCCTTCCCCCACTCCTCCCCCCAAATTTATAAACAAGTTGACACAGGGCATTAGCAGAAGATTAGTTTGAGCAAAGTTCATTCTCAAGGGAATTAGAATCACATGCTGTTCAAAATAAACCACGGGGGCAGAATGTTGAGGATTCATGCTTCACCCAGCACATCTCTAAAACTGTTCTGACCACTCGGGGAGAATACATAATCTGAGATAATCAGGTCATTCTTTGCTCAGTGAACCAGCGCTGAACAAAAAGAATGGTTCAAATACACTGATATGTTCAAATAATATCGGTAACATGCCTGCTTGAAATTAATTTCATCCATAGACAACAAAACGAATAATCTTGTGTTCGTCTAAATCATGTTTCACAGTCACAATTCATATCCGAATATCTGAGATTTAACTTCTGGACCTTAGACACCACTGGCTGCATTGATCGAAAAAAAATTGAAAACACAGTAAAACACTCCAGTATTAGAAAACACCCCAAATAAGAGCTAAGGCGAGAAAAAGACAGCCTGGATAACTGTGCAGTAATACGGTATTAATGGCATTTGGATTATTCCCCAGTACAGAACATCAAAAGAAAATTAAGTTCACTTGTCAGATTTAAGTCCACTTACATTTGAAGCCGGAATGGATAAGGGGCACTATTCAAGGACAGGCAAAGTCTGCAGTGTTTGCACTGTGTGAATTTAGGATGCAGCTGCAAATCCAGATTGGACATTGCATTCTATAGAGAGACGTGCAGGTCAGAGCATAAACTCCTGTGATAAGTTACAGCTGATTTACCAATGGCAAATCAATAGGACCTGCCAAGTGTCTTGTACTGGACTGACCACGGTTCACACCGTGATTTTTCATCTCTCCCACACGCACAGCTTGTGACTGATAACTGCTCAATTCAAATGGTTTCTACAAGGTCAAGTCTGATCAGATTCAAGGCAGACTTACCCGAGAAATACCGAGAAACATAGATACTGCACTGTGTGTATATCTGACCCACTTTCTATTGGATGCAAACAGAAAATTGCTCAGAAATCAACAGCAGTTCAAAATATTACATGGGCTGAGCTCTTAACTGTACTGTAAGCTTATTATAAATATTATTAACTTCTACCGGTTTCTACTGGGCCCAGCATTTTCAGGATACAAATACACACGATAAGTTTCAAAGAAGTTTTCTACTGTGATTGAAGTTGATAGCTTTTACGCTGCAATGATGTGTTTCTGCAGCCTTTTTCATTTAAGGCATAACATTACAAAGCTGTTACTTCACCTACTTTATCTTACAGACCACTCCATGAACTCATTGTCAAAGGCTGAGGTGTCGTGTTGGGGGAGTGTGGAGGCGCTATCCTTCAGATGACACATTAAAAACCCTAACACATTATTGGAAAAGAGAAGGAAGTTTTTCTCCACGTTGAGGCCAACAATCAAGATGAATTGATAATTTACCTCGTGACTGCTGCGCGCAATTGGCTGCCGTGTTTCTCTCACAAAAATATACAGTCAATTCACTTTACACTACATTCTGCAAAGGGCTTTGAGATGTCTCGAAGACGTGATAAGGCGCTGCAGCAAATACAAGGAGTAGTATGACAACTCGTGGGACCTTGCTGGTGCGGATGAGCTCCACATCACTTACAATAAAGTTACACAGGATAGTAACTAGAATAGCTGTAAAAATGGCACTTTTCCGAACAGCCATCCCTCTCTTCCTTGCTTATAATTTGCCCTGTTGTACACTGAACGTCAATGCTCCGGGGGCCATTGGAGGCACTGAACTGTCTGTACTTAAGGGAGGGTTAAGCAAACAGGATAAGCGGTTTCATGTTATCCCTAACCTTTATTACCCTAAATTAAAAAATATTGTAAAAAACATTAGTTTTGGAAGCAAGCTGCAAAAAAAAATTACCTTGTTGATGTTGGATCAGATTTCATTTTCAAAGCAGCCATAATAAGTCAAGGGGGAAAGAAAACCCAAGAAGACTGCACATAACAAGGCAAAGTGATCAACTGGTAAAGCTCACTAGACGTGCATTTATGATTAAAAAAAATTGTAGGGATAGATCGGGAGCTTTTAATCACTAAAAGGTTTGTCTGGGGCTCAGCTATTCTTATAAAAACTGTTGCGGTTAACATTTTTCTAACAGAGCACATTTGAAATCCGCAAGAACGAGCTACAAAACGTATCTCATTCCCTACAGCATTCATGCTGCCGGGAATCAACAATCAGAAATAATCCTTTACAAAAAAAATGTTGGGTGACTCAATCCACGACTGTTTGTGGAATGCTGCTGTGCACAAATGGCTGCCACGTTTTGCCCACTAAATATACAGTCAATTCACTTTACAGTATATTCCGTGAAGCGCTTTGAGACGTCTCAACTATGTGATAAGGCACTATATCAAATGCAAGGCTTATTATTATAAAATACAGACTGTGCTGGAGTACAAATTAGTGTCAAATATGGATTTACATTCCAGATCTGAACCATTCTGCGGGAAGTTCTCTGCAGCCAGTGTTTTTGTACATTTCTAAAGGGAGAGAAATGAAAAGCAGGGAAGTTATGCTGAACGTATATCGAACCTTGATAATACCACACTTGGGAGTACTGTGTACAGTTCTAACTCCCATATTATAGAAAAGAAGCAGAGGCACTGGAGAAGGTGCAAAGGAGATTTACAAGTATGATACCGGAACTGCAAGGTTATACCTATCAGGAAAAGCTGAACATGCTTTTCTTTTGAAAAGAGAAGGGCGAGGGGTGACCTAATAGAGGTCTTTAAAATTATGAAAGGTTTTGATAGGGTAGACATAGGGAAGATGTTTCCACTTGTGATGGAGACCAAAACCAGGGGCCATCAATATAAAATAGTCACCAATAAATCAAATAGGGACGTCAGAAGAAACTTCTTCACCCAGATAGTGGTGGGAATGTGGAACTTGATACCACAAGGAATAGTTAAGGCGAATAGCATGGATGCATTTAAGGGGAAGCTAGATAAGTAAATGAGGGAGACAGGATTAGAAGGTTATGTTGATAGACTGATTGAGGAAGGGAAGGAAGCTCATGTGGAGCATAAACACCTGTGTAGACCAGTTGGGCCGAATAGCCTGTTTCTGCGCTGTATAGTCTATGTAATTCTATGTAACATCTAACTTGGCGATATATTTTTCAATATGAGATGTTCAATGCAATCACTGGTTCTGTTTGGAGATGATAATATCAGCGGACTAGCTCTGATCAGAACATGTACCAGACGAGCGCTTGGCTTCATTTAAGCTTAGTGCGATGTCACTTTTATACCTTACTGTGAAAGAAGCAGACCTGCGGTTTTGTAACAGATTCCACAACACCAACATGTACATGTATTGGAAAGACTAGATTTGGTTGTTGCACTTTCCCTGATCTTTGGGGAAGATTTACACAAGACGATACAGAACCCTCATCATTATCCACTGTTCTGCTACCATTTATTATCAATCCCAGATTTCCAGCTCTTTCCTCCTCAACATTTTACTGCTTGAATCTTTATTCTGTTCCCTTTTGAATAACTCTATTGATCCAGTCTCAACCATCACAATAATAAATTCCAAACCACAAGCCTCGGAATGAAGAACTTGCTTCTAACCTCTCCGCTGCTTCTTTTGTAAAAGACTCAAATCGATCATTTAATTCCAATAATGACTAGTCCTCAAAACAAACCATTGTATAATTCGACAAAGAAAGCCTCAATTTTGGTTACTATAACATATTGTAGTCTGTTACAAAACAGAGATCGATGGTCCAGATGGTAAAACAAGATGAAAAAAATAATTCAAAAGAAGTTTTGGGGGCAGCAGAAAAGAGAAGAAAACAGTATTTTCAGTGGACTGTTTTTTCTGTTGAGGAAATTTAAATGGTTCACAGACCATTGGAAAGAAATGCTTTTAACAGATGTCTTTCCTGTACCTACGTTCCTTTTGCTCCTTTATACAGCACAGAGATTATCATGTACACAGCATGCATAAACAACAACAACTTGCATTTACCGAGTGCCCCTCACACGGGGTAGCGTCTTGGAGCACTGAACAACGGTGTAATTTGACACAAAGCCATATAGGAAGGGGAGGTGACCATAAACATGGTTGAAGAGGCAAGTCTGTAGGTATGATCTGGAGATGGGCATAGAGGGGGCAAGGAGTGCAAAAATTCTATAACGTTGGGATGAAGGACCTCAACTTAACTCAGAAGAGAGATTTGGTTTACATGACTTTGAAGCGGTTATTTGAAACATTTGTATTGAATAACTGAATACATTTCATTTTTTTTTCACATTCAGGAAATTAAAAGCAGAAGAAGTCATTTAACTCTGGTCAAAAAGATGCATTGCTGTATTCGCTCCTTCACCATGTTTGAGAATTATTAGGTTATATTCTGTAGGGAAGCATATCTGAACCAGTTAATACCTTAATCAACTAAACCATCTGATGAATTTTACATCATAAAGAATGCATTAAGCACTAGAAAACCAAATTTAATGAGCGTCTTCAACCAAGGCTAAAAGAATTATGAAACCCATTTTAACATAAATACTACTTAGAACTAAATGTTCCCAGCTATTTTTCTTTATAGGAATGGATTTCAGGGCAATGTTCCTCTTTGCTATTCTTCAACTTTTGCTGAATATATATTCACTGAATTGTCAAGTAATATAATATAATACAACTGCAGTATTTCAGGTGACGAACGTTCGTAACCATAGAATAGTCAAGAGACGTTTGCCTACAACAACATCGCCATCTACTGTCGGACAGAAGATAAACTGAATCAATTGAGTACAACATCTTATTTCTGCAGTTTTACATTGTCACTGATATTTAAGAATATCAGCCGAATAATAAAATAATAATAATAATCCTTGCATTGTCTTATAGCCCTTTGTCATGTTGCTGAGACGTCTCAAAGCGCTTCACAAAATATAACGTAAAGTAGATTGACTGCACTTTGTTGGCGAAATATATAGCTTGCATCTCTCATATAATTCTGCAATTCATTAAGTTTAATCGATCTGCTAAAAACTGGTTTGAGGAAGGTAACACGTTAATAGAAAAATAACTATTGTTGAAAGGTATCGCTTACAATGAGTAATGCGAAACATTAGAAACAACCCGAGCTATTTAATGCATCCTCATATTTTGGTACTAAATTTCTTGAACATTACCATAAAGAAGTGTCGGAAAAGTTCAGCTCCAGCTTATAAATTAAAATATAAGAGGCAGCCATTAAATGACCCATTACCAAGATATTCTGGCCTCATCCATCCACAGTTGTTAATACTGTTGTGAACCTCTTTCAGCTTGCAATTCCTGTGTAGTGGTCAGTACGCTCTTATAAAGAGCACACTGGCTAAATCAGTGCTTCTCGACACACTTTGTTCAGGGCAATGAGAATTTTACTTGTTCAATTTCACAATGATATTTTATTCAAAAAAAACAGCTATCATGTCTTTCAACGACTCCACACTTAATCTTCTATTAGTATCATCACTATTTCATCTGATCTCAAATGGAATTCTCACACCTTTGCCATTAGAAAGCATCCTTTCAGAAGTTCGGTTCTCTCTTTTGTGCCGAACAAATTTATTTTCCGTTCAACAACTTGTTTATAAAGCCCAAGTTTTCCCAAACCCTACCTTCTTGCTCCTCCAAAACTTCTTATATTGGCATACATCACAACCATACTTTTGTCAAATAAACCTTTACTGCGTTGCAATCAAACCTCAATACGTGGTTTCCTAAACAAATTCATTTTCTAAGGACATGAAGACTAGAACTCATTTCCTCGTCCTAAAAAAAATACTGGCTTTTAAACCACAACTTTAGTCCTATCCAACCATTTTTTCTTTATCCTGCTATTTTTTCCAAACTTGGTGATTTATTACATTATGGGACTTGATGGTTCACTGAGGTTCTCGATTAAAAAAAGCTGTCACGTTTCAATTCTATTACTTCTTACTTTCTCCAGTAGTACTTCTCGTTCTTCTTCTACGTCCTCACTCCACACAGTCATATCATTGATGGTCCTTTGGGTAACAGTGAGCACCGTGAGTCCAGCTACTGGAGCCTCAGGAAACATCGATTGAAAATCTGAGAAGAACATTGAACAAATCAAGTCTTTTCACGTCAAAGCAATACTAACCAATTCTAACATGTTGTCACTGTATTCACATCAGTTACTATGTAGAGTTTTCTGCCCCAGAAGGCTGGAGAGGCAAAATTAACTGAGTTGTGTAAAAGGGAGATACTTAAAAACTTGGGAAAGGTGTTAAAAGCACAAGAAGTCAAGACAAATTGGATCAATAACAATGATCCTACTCGTTAGGGCTTTGAGGTGAGCTGAATAGATTGTTGCAAGAAACATCTCAAAACTGAAATCAATGTTCCCTCAATGCTAAAGGTTTCTAAAATGCACATTTAACTCACTATTCTACAAAGCCAGTCTCTAGTAGGCTATTAGACATGAAAAAACTTTAAAGCTAAGGATATATTTTCTTAGAATTAATCATTTTTACAAAAAGTTTTATTTTAAATTCAAAATGGGTGATTGAGACAGACCTTTACGTAGCAGTTCTGGGCAGGTCTGTATTGCACACTCCACAACTGCATTCTCAAAGTAAGTTTCCGCATTGGTTATTTGCTGTGGTTGAAGTTCAACTTCATTTCCCTGAAATCAAAGGGAGAGTTTTATTCTCCTACAATTGCTAATGTGATCACAATAAACAACCTGTATACCATTGTTACTCTATTGAAAAGACAACGCTATAACTCTAATAAGGTTCACGTCAGCCTTGTTACAAATACACACCTCATCAATTGTTGTAGAAATATGGAGGGAAATTACCCAAATCACAAAATGCAACAAGGATCTGGTTTGTATATTATCTCCATTCAAAAGAAAATTGAACAGATACAGAAGCACGGGATAAGGCTGGAGGTTGATTAGGGGTTATCTGCAGATATGGACCGTGGATTGATATGCGGCACAGACACGATGTGCCATAAAAAAAAATAATAATTTGGTCACTCAACCCACGACTGTTTGTGGGGACGCTACTATGCGCAATTGTCTGCTGCGTTTTGCTCACAAAATATAGTCAATTCACTTTACAGTACACTCTGTGAAGGGCTTTGAGACGTCTCGAGGTTGTGATAAGGGGCTATATCAAATGTAAGGATTATTATTTCGGTTGGTTCTTTGGTGGCAGTGAACTCAATGGGCAAATGGCATTTTCCTACTCCTATTTCCTGTCAGCCATCAACAGCTATTTCTTAGTAAACATTCTTCCCAAAACTGAACTCTTATTCTCCTTAAGCTTCCGAGATATACTGTTATTTGTCCCCTGTAACAAATACTCCCATCTAAATTAGCATTATACTGCAGCTCGATTAATAAAATTAACCCTGATTAACAATAATTTCCAACCTTTTGTTAGTATTCTCTTTGATAAGTATAAAAAAATTAATTAATTTAATGGTTTCTTAATTTGTTGGCTGATATATAAACTTTTATTTTGTTAATTCTCTGAAATATTAAAAGTATATTTTCCATGCGTCATTCCAATATCACCGATCTTAAACATTTGCACGAATGATCAGCATCACATTTGCACAATACTGTACTTGATCTAATAAGACTTCAACAACATTTGACAGTAGAAAAATAATAGAAAATAATACAATTATGAAAATTAAAATCCAATTAAGACATGTTTATGTAATACCTGTGATCTATTTTATCAGAGAATTTAAACCGATGTTAATAATAATTATTATTGTTGTTGCTTCATTTTCTGATACACGTCGATATTAACTGCTTCATGCAAATGTAGCAAATAAGATATGAATAAATAAGAATTGAATGATATCGCATGAAAAGTTAACAGCTAAAATCTAATGTGAAATTGGTTTCTTGCCTGAAATTCGTTAACAAATTGTGCAAGAATGAACTCGTGCTTCTCACTGGATAACGGGGCTCCTAGAACATCTGGGAGGGTTTTGTGCAGTGGGTTCCTCTTCTGAAAACTGGTGCCATTTAAATGGCAATCAAACCCGACGTTACCCGGCAGCTGAAACCTCTTGTCCTGAGGCCCAAATGGCCCCATCTTTTCATCGGGCCATACAGTCCGAAGACCTGCAGATACCAAATTAAAGTCAGTGCAATGAGATACAATATTTTAACATTGATGTGGAGGAACCCCCAAAATGCACAATTCCAATTATAATAGTCAGCCTGATGCATTTAGTGTTTAGCTGGTTATCAGAAGTCGCTAATAATAAATACAACAGTACCAGTATAACATGTTGCATTATAAGGTGGGAAATTGGCTTCCAGTGTGTTCAAAAAAACCAGACAATTTCCAGATCAGAAGGTCACCACTGACGTCACTTTAGTACGGAGTGACCGGCCTTCTGCGCCCATGTGTCATGGCGTCACCAGTCACGTGATCAACGGCTTCAAGAATTGGAAGCAGTGACTGACGATCGTGCTGTGTTATAAGGCGGGTCGGGATTTTATTTACCTCCCACCCTCTCAACCACTACTTTATAATGTGGATCCACTGTATTATTCCAGTTTTACACCAAAGTCCAAAGCCTGGTGTTATTACTTCCAGTTTAAACAATCAAAAATCCGTAACAACAGTCCTCCCATGAATTTCCTTGAATGTTTCAGTACGAAATAACTTGGGACTCTTTACCTTGATCGGGTGGTATCATGGGAACATAGGACTCGTCGGATCCAGAAGAGCCTGCTGTGGAAAATGTTCTCGCGCTGGCGATCCTCCTGACCAATATATGAATCCCTGGTAGATACGTCACTAGCCTGGCTCTGCTACGGAGCACCTTTAACAACAGAACAGATAATTAAAAGCAACAGCTAAAAAAAAATTGTTAAAAAGAAGAACTCTTTCTTAAAATAAACTCAAACAATATTTCTTATTGAGTAAAGACAATGGCTAAAAGGTAATCGAATGCCCTAATCTATAAAGATGACAATTCACCTCGGACATAAATACTGTACATAAAACAACATGGGAATTTTTGGTAGTAATGCAAACCTTCCTGTGCTCCATTTATGCTTTGTGGTGAAGTCCCCCTGGTGTCCCCCAATTGTGCAAAGAAAGTCGAAGCACAGATTGCTCACAGGGTCAAAGTATTTCTCATACCATGTGGATTAATCAGCTCTCCTAGGCATGAGCCTGGGGATGGGAGGAAGGAAGCAAAAGAGTACAAGGAGAAAAGGGGAAAATGGAGAAGTACGCAGTAGTAAAAGCACCAATTAAAGCAGAAACAAAATATAGATGTCAATGAGGAAAGCATGACAGAATACAATGAAAATTACTGTTAAAGGGTGGAAGAAAAACTCCAGTAAAGTAAAATATTTATGGTTCTAGCCGGCAGAGTCAATGCAAATGGAAGGAAAACTATTTGGGAAGAATAAGGCGAAATCAATTATGAATAAATCCCCAAACGTTTGAAAATATGAAGCTTAATAAATAACTACACACTTTTGCCAAATAGGCTGTATGAGAATAAGAACAAATATGTTGTGTTTGGTGATGTTCACAAGGTTCTGTCCACTCAAGAGTAGAGCTTCACCCTTGCGGATTTACCCCCAGGACTCTGTTGTGATTTTTTTAGAAAAAAAGGAAAGTGAGTGTTTCTTACAAGTTGGAACTCTTCTGGCACATAGAAAACAGTGAAAACCATTTTAATGAAGGTGTTCGGGGAGTGGGAGGAATGCTTCATCTCCTCAGGATACTGTTCTTGAAAGCAATCCATTTAAAAAATATCTTCACGTCTATTTTTGAACTTTGTTTTCCTTGACATGTCCTTAAGGTCTAAAGTCTCATTATTTTGGCATTAGACCGGCTGATAGAGAACTGAGCTCTGAGGTGGGTACCAGTGTCAACATTAGCAATAGTTATCTAATGTATCAATAGTAGTTATTTGGAGACGGACTAGAAAAAGTCACTCAAGTGAATGCAGTCATCAATTGTATTCGCACGGCAATGCAAGTAGGCATCTGCATTTTACTATACTTTCACACTACAATTGCATATCCACATTTCAGAGTTCTATGTACTCAAATACAATCACTGCATTACTATTCACCATTCTCTGAGTATCAATGATATTGCTCGGTTGAGAGTCTGTACCACTTATTTTTCTGCCACAACTGTTTCTCATTAAGGCAAGACGGTTATCTCTGAATGTACTGAACTTGCTCATTTTACATGCTTACACAAACGCTAAATCTACAATACATAACAATAAACTGGTTCCGAAAACAATAAAGGACGAGACTTGTATTATTCCCCCCCACACAGAAAGGAGCATTCTCGTCAAAACAGGATCTCAATCTCATTCACTCACGGGTAAGGAGTACCAGATATTTTTGAACCAGTTATTCAAATGTAGTCAAACAACAGATTAACTGAAATAAAAATTCCCTAACAATTATAGGCCATATAAACTGGTGCTCACATTAAATGTGACAGCTTTCCAGAAGCCCAATGACTTTCAACAGTCTGAGATCTTCCGGATACTGAACAGACAAGCCTTGGCTAATTCAACTGACTTAACAATTGGCTGGTATATCTCATAATGAGAATACTATGTGCTGATGTACAGACTTTTCGCCATTGTTCTTTTTTGGGGGGAGGTCTAAACATAATTCAGCTTTTTGGAGGGGCATTCAGCTAAGATACAAAACCGGGACACCATTACCCTAAGCGCAAAGTACGCTCAGGAACATTTTACACAATGTTTACATAAATGATTTTAGACCCAATGGTCTTAAGTCATAGTAGTGACAGGATAAGCGTACGCTATTTATTTATGGCACATTTGAATTGGTTTCTAGGTCTTAATTTAAATATAACTATGATAAAATCACACAAAAAGTATTTTTGTTTAGGAATGTCACCCCTCGTCACACGCTGTTCGTGCCATAAGACCCAGTAAAGCAACAAAATAGATCAAAACTCACATTGGCCATCTTGTGACGTTTCTGCCTCAATCGTCCAGGCTAAAGAAGAGAAATACAAAATGAGCAACAGGAATTTGATTACACATATCAGAAACTTTAGATAAAATCTGAGCAAAGCGAGTTTCTTTAGCATATTTAGCAAACTTTAGCTTTTCAAAGTTTGTAGCTTTGTCAATTCGGAACGAGACAACCAATTTTGCACACAACAATGTTCACAAACAACAATGAAGTAAATGACGAAGGTTAGTCAGTCAGGAGATACTCTTTAAATAGGGCTTCATTTAAAGGTGTTATCATTGTTTTAAAACCGAAACAGAGTTTGGTAGCTTGGGTGCAATTTCCAATCGGAAAAATCCTTTAACACATCCATTTATGTGTTGGTAGAGTCTTAAGAGTTAATACTTTTGTAAACTGGGCGAAATATTGGGCAAGTTTCCTTACTCCACACGTCTGTTTATCTAGCAGTAACTAGGAACCCGGTTATTAGTCGATCGGTGGATCGCTTTCCAGGGGTAATAATTGCTTAAAAAAAAAAAATTGGTCACTCAATCCACAACTGTTTGTGGGACACTGCTGTATGTAATTGGCTGCCAAGTTTCGCCCATAAAATATGCAGTCACTACACTTCACAGTTATTCTGTAAAGCACTTTGACATGTCTCGTAGGAATGATAAGGTGCTGTATCAAATGCAAAGATTATTATTATTATTATTAACTGGCATACAAGCCAGTGCTTTAAAGTGTTTTGTAAACACTTAACAGAAGTTTGTTTGTAAGCCACGACAACAACCAAATTATATTTGTATCGCGCCTTTCACGTCGGGAGGATGCTGGACAGACAGAGTTTCGGACCTGAGCTGGGGGTCGGGATCAGGGAAGGTGTAGGGTGGGGGGGAGCAGGGTGATCGAAAGCATGGTTGAAGAGGAGGGTCTTGAGGTGGGTCTTGAAGGAGACAAGGGAGGAGGCGAGGCGGAGGGACTGTGGGATGGAGCTCCAGAGGGTGGGAGTAGAGTGGCGGAAGGCCCGCCCGCCAATAGTGGGGCGAACGAGGTGGGAGACGCCCGCCGAGAGGAGGGAGCGAACAGGATGGTAGGGGGATAGGAGGTCGCAGAAGTAGAGCGGAGCAAGGGTATAAAAAGCGTTGCATTATCACAGGTGGCATCCTTCAGATGAGACGTTAAACAAAGTCTGCCTGTTCAGGTAGACCGTAAAGATCCTATGGCACTATTCAAAAAGAGAAGGGAGTTTCTCCCGGTATCTCGGCCAACAGTCCCCCAAATAAAATTGGTCACTCACTCACTCACTTACATGGCTGTTTGTGGGGCATTTGAACTACAGTCACTCCACTTTACAGTATATGATGTGAAGCGCTTTGAGACATCGCAACAAAGTGATAAGGCGCGACATCAAATCAAGGATTATTATTATTATTATTAATAAAGACAATTACAATGAACCTCGCAAAAGTCTGATCTGTATAAATCATACAATCACCCAAGTCGTACACCTGCCCAAGTCCCGTTCAAGAGTTTATATTCTAAGCAGGTTTGACGTAACTCAGATTTTGCAATAAGTCGGGGGCAAAACGTGGGGCAAGTTTCCTGACCCCACTCGCCTCTGGTTATCGAGCGGCAAGTAATAATAATAATAATAATTATTGCCGCCGCCGTCGATTCACTTCACAGTATATTCTGCGCGAAGCGCTTCGAGCCGCCCCGAAGACACGATAAGGCGCCGTAACACACGCAAGGATTAATTATAATTATTATTATTATTGCTATAAAGTCATAAAGGGAAATGTCAGTGTCAGGTCCCAGATGAAGATCACTGCGGAACAACATGCAACCTGGGAATCGACTACATCACAGGGGGGGGAGAGGGTGGGGGGGGAGAGAAGGGAAGAGGGTGGGGGAGAGGGTGTGGGGGAGTGAGGGGGGAGAGGCTGTGGGGGAAAGGGTAGGGGGGAGAGGGGGGAAGAGGGTGGGGGGGAGAGGGAGTGAGGGGAGAAGGTGGGGGGAGTGAGGGGAGAGAGTGGGGGGGAGAGGGAGTGAGGGGAGAGGGTGGGGGAGTGAGGGGGGAGAGGCTGTGGGGGAAAGGGTAGGGGGGAGAGAAGGGAAGAGGGTGGGGGGGGGGGAGAGGGTGGGGGGAGTGAGGGGAGGGGAAGTGAGGGGAGAGGGTGTGGAGGAGAGGGTGGGGGGAGTGAGGGGAGAGGGTGTGGGGGAGAGGGTAGGGGGGGAGAGGGGGAAGAGGGTGGGGGGAGGAGGGGAAGAGGGTGTGGGGGAGTGAGGGGGGAGAGGCTGTGGGGGAGAGGGTGTGGGGGGAGAGAAGGGAGAGGGTGGGGGGAGTGAGGGGAGAGGGTGTGGGGGAGTGAGGGGGTTAGAGGGGGCGGATACAGAGATGGGGAGTCCCAATGACATTGATTTGCAAAACCATTGAACACCGCAATGAAGGAAGGAAGGAAGGAGGGAGGGGGGGGGGGGTTGATGGGGGGGGGACTGTTTGTCAACAAGAGGCCGAGGCTCCGCCGGGACTGACAGGCCGAGGCTCTGCTTGGAGCCGGGGGGGGAGGGTATACATAAAGCCCTGTAATAATATGATCCCGCTGACGTGTCTCTTCCCCCCTTCCCTCCCTCCCTCTCCCAGCGTCCCTCCCCCCCCACTCCCTCCCTCTCACTCCCTCACTCACTCTGTCGCCGGCGCCACAGCTCCTCCACGGCCCCTCTCCCGCGTTCCTCGTCGCCAGACCGATCGACGTCACTCCGTCCGCGCGACGCCACGCCGCGCGTCGCATCGCGTCACCGCGTCTCGGGCCCGGCGGGGGCAAACCAGCGCGCGCCAGGCCTTCCTTCTCACAGCCGTCGCCGCGCGCCGCCGCCTCCTCCTCCTCCTCCCCGTCCCGTCCCGTCCCATCCTCCAGCCATGGCAACGGTCTCTGTGGCAACGGTCCCGCCCAGCGCCTAGCAACGGGGCTCGCCCCGCCCCCTCGCGCTGCCGAGCGACCCGCCCATTCCCGCCTCAGCGCTTAGCAACGCGCCTTAGCCCCGCCCAGAGCCGGCGCCTGGCAACGCGGCCTAGCGTTGCTCCCAGCAAAACAAAGCCTGCGTTGCCTTACGTCGAGGAGGAGGAAGAGGAGGAAGAGGAGGGTCAGGGCCCAGGGCAGGGAGGGAGGGAGGGAGGGAGGGGACGGTCCTGACTCCCAATATTAATTACAGGCTTTTGCTGAACTTTTTTCTCAAATCAAAAAATATACATATATTTATTTATATATATATATTTTTTTGGGGGAAAATAAAACCCGAAAAAAATTAATTTAAAAACGGCCCCAAAAAGCCTTCTTTATAAAAACTCCGCAAACTCTCCCCCTCACTCTCCCCCTCTCTCCCCCCCCCCCTCCACTCCCCTCATCCTTTGGAGACCCCCTCATCCTTTGGAGACCATTTCTTACACAGTTTCAAAAGGATTAATAAGAATAAACACTAAACTTTTACTAAAGTGCCGCTGTCGTTACCCCACAGGAGGTGACGCGTAACGATTGGGGCTACTTTGTGTAGTGTTTGGTGGGGGGTGGGGGGGGGGGTTGAGTTTCTCTGGGCTGGGGCGAGGGTCGCGGGGCGGGGGGTCGCGGGGCGGGGGGGTCGCGGTGGGGGTAAAGCTGACCCGGGAGGCCGGACGATGGAGGGCGGAGAAGCGGAGACTCACCTGGTGGTTCACGGGCAGCTGCGGGACATCGTGTTGGCGCAGCAGCGGATGGTCCACAAGCTGGAGATCCAGGTGACGAGAGACGGGGGATGGGGGGGGGGGGGTGAGAGCCGGAGGGCGGCTTCCCTCCCGCCGCCGAGCCCGAGTCCCCCTCCCTCACCGCAGCCCCCGTTGCGATCGATTGATCGATCGATCGATTCGATTGATGGATCGATCGATTGATCGATCGATTCGATCGATTGATTGATAAAGCGCTTTGAGACGTCTTGAAGACGTGACAAGGCGCCACGTCAAATCCAAGGGTAATTGGAATTGAAAGGACTAGTTGAGGGACAGATCAATCAGCCCACGTCCCAATTAAATGGCGGAACAGGCTCGAAGGGCTGAACGGCCTCCTCCTGTTCCTATATTGTTTTGTGCACTATATGTATTTTTAGTGCTTTGCTGTAAATCAAGTACAGTCTCTGTGTTGCTGGGCAAGCGACATTGGGTGACGTGTGCGTATATATTATGTATATATATATATCTATATATGTTCTCATTCATTCAGAACTCTGCAGCTCGTGTACTGTCCCGCACCAGGCTTCGGGACCACATCACTCCCACCCTCGCTCGCCTCCACTGGCTCCCCATCCCCCAGAGGATTGATTTCAAGATCCTCATCCTCACCTACAAGGCCATTCCCGGCCTCGCTCCCTCCTACCTCTCCAACCTACTATCCCCCTACCTACCTGCCCGTACCCTCCGTTCCTCTGGCTCTGGTCTGCTCCACATCCCCCGCCCCAACCGCCCTACCATCGGTGGTCGGGCCTTCAGCCTCTCAGCCCCGAGGCTCTGGAACTCCATCCCCCAGTGCCTTCGCCGCCTCCTCCCTTTCCTCCTTCAAGGCCGGTCTCAAGACCTTTCTCTTTGACCTTCAGCCTTCAGCTCCCCTCTCAACTCTCTTCCCCCTTCTCGCTCCCTCCCTCCCCTCACCCTGACCATTTCCCCCCTCCTCGCTCCCTCCCTCCCCTCCCCTCACCCTGACCATTTCCCCCCTCCTCGCTCCTCCCTCCCCTCCCTCACCCTGACCATTTCCCCCCTGCTCGGGTCATGACCCAACTGTGCAGCGCCTTGGGACGTCCTCCTGACGTGAAAGGCGCTTTATAAATGGAATCTTGTTGTTGTTGTTGTTGTTCTCCAGGGGTCCGGTCTCCTTGTTTTGGAATGGTCCTGTTCCACCCGCAAACCAATCTCTTTAAGACCCGTCTCTTCCACCGAGCTTTCAACCGTTTTCCCCCATCCGAGGGGACTTCTTAATCCGTTGCGCGAAAGCGCTCTGAGGCACGCTCCCTGACCCGAAACATGCCGCGTAAACCGTCGTCCCGAATCGGCATAGTTTGCAAAAACCACGACGTGGTGCGAGTTGTGTTTGGTGAAGACTTGAGGCGTCTCTGCGCTCCTTTCCTTCTCTGTGAGGTGCCGTGAAATGCCTTTATGATTTTGCCCGCGTTCGTGGTTTCGTCAGCGCGGTTCCAACTCTGCTCATCGTTCGACAAAATTGCTAATGTCAATAAAGAGCTCTTTGGGGATTTCGAATTAATTCCCGTGCATTGTACTTTTAGATAAGACAGCATGAAAAGGACTCAGTCGGCAGAATGGAATTTGAAGATCTTGTGAAAGAGTTAGAGGTGAGGACCTTACAGCTGCTGTAGAAATTGGTTAGGAAAACGGTACCTTCTTCTTATATGTCTTGCACCAGGGTTGAGAATTTTCTCGTTTGCAGGTGGTAAGTATTTTTCCTGAAATGCTTCGTTTTTGTTTAATTTAAAGAATATTGGGGTATTTCTCAATGAGATTCCTGGGAATCTCAAGGGCTTTGGGACACTGCCCTGCCTGAGGGGTGCTATATGAATGCAAGTTGTTGTTGTTTTCGTTGTTAATAAGGCATTTGTCACTGAGGAATTTTGTCTGAATTGCTGTTGGCCTGCGGACTCTCTGCTTTGAAATTGATTGCGTCAAGAGTGGCATTCCCAGCGGTTGGGTGACACATCTCTGGTTACTGGAATGAATTGCGCAACACAAATCCTACATTAAGCTAGTTATCCTTTTCCAGAGGAGCGAGTATGTCACTACTTAACATCAGAATTTCCAGTATCTATTAGAAATTCATATTGTCAGATTAGTACAATGCGCAAAGGATTAGTTTCCTCATTTGTATTGCAAACTTCGAACAACATTCAACAGAGTGTAGTTTTGTTCCCCACTCCTTTAACTCTGAAATTCCTTTACAGGATGAAAAACTTGAGCATTCTAAAACTAAAGCTTCACTCTCAAAGGAGTCTGAAAAGCTGCAATTTGCACTCGGCGAAATAGAGGTTCTAATGAAGCAACTGGAAAGGGAAAAGAAGGCGTTCGAACAAGCGTACGTTTTTATTTGTGCTCCTTGAACGTTTGGTTTACCATTTGGAATTTATAGAATTTGTGTAGGATTTTAACTTAATGCGCTGTACCTGGTCTTACCGTGTCTTCATTTAATGACCGCACAGGTATATTCTCCAGTAGCAACCTGAATAGAGATGAGAACTGCAAAAGATGCTCATTTCTCCTCTTCCGCCTTGCCCCCCCCACCCCCATTAACTATGTTTCAGGGTCACTGAAAACAATTGAATCATGTTATTTAACAAATGTTATCTTTGACACTTGCTTGATTTTTTTCCTTCCATGTAAATACATTTCTGGATTGCAGGGTTCTAGTTTCTGATCCATTGCAATTCATTATTTTACTCAGCTTTCAAGGCACTTTGGGAGGAACGTAACATGGCCTTTACTTGACATAATTTAATATCCTACAAGCACTGACGAGCTTTAGCCTAATTTAGTGAATAAGGCCTTGTTTCAGAGCTGTTTTCTTTATCGTATCCCATTGTAAACATATCTGCGGTTTTCTTTTTTTCCTTACAAAGCTTGGAAAGCATTAAAAACAAGGCATTGAAGGAGTCCACGAAAAACGACAAGTTAATAACTAAATGCAGTGGTGAGTCACACCGAAACTTGTGTTTCAGTACAATACAACAGTACAGTACTTACTGTAGGTTTAAAAAGTTTCATCTTCTGCAAATTGAATTGGATTTTAAAAATATATCCATTAGCATTCCAGTTGTCAATGATCAGCCGAGGGCTGCCATGTTAACGTTTCACTTTATGAATTAGTTTAACATGATTTTGTGATTTTCATTGTTGGATGCATTTTTGTTATGATTAGAGCCATTCTTTGGTAAAACTGGAATCCTCCATTCCAGTTTCTGCGAAGTTTTTAAAAAAAAACCCACTTATTTTATATAGTGACTTACGTCTGGCGTTTTTATTGTAATGTGTAGTGACTGTATTTGTAGGTAAACGCGGCAACCAATCTGATCACAGCATTGTCCCACAAACAGCCACAAAGCGAATGACTTCAGGGAAACTCCCTGTTGAAGTTAGCTTCTTAAACAGATTTTTTATTTCAAACCAACTATACAGTATATATTTTCCTTTTAGCAATCGAAAATCAGATGGAAAAACAAGAGGATATATTGACTACCAAAGATAATCAGATTAAAGACCTTTGTCACCTACTTTCGAAACAGAAAGAAGCTTTGAGGTGAGTGTGTGCAGGTGGATTCTAATTTACTGCGCTTGGAAATCATTCTTCCGCTGTAAAGGTACTGATTTCTCGCTCTGTATTGCAGGAAACAAACGAATGAGTTTGAAATCCAGAAGCAGCAAGATGCCTACATAGCACGGGTGTTGGAAACCAAAACCAAAACAAAGAAAATGTCCATCAAATCCCTCAGTGCTTCGAAGAAACAATAGTAACATTAGAAACATTGATCGAACCAGCAAAACACTTTGAAAACAAAACTAGATGTGGCATACAGAACTATACCCCTCAGCAAGTATTTGTCTTCACCTTGAGCTTTAAGACGTGCAGCGATTAGCTGGGAGTTGAGCAACTGAACTCACGTTGCAGAGATTTGGGGGCTGTCATAATATTTTTACAGACTTGGTCAGAAGACATTAAGAAGTACTGCCAGGATCATATACCCGTGGTGGAGATTGGATGGATTCCAGGCATTTCTACCTTTTGAGTGGCTGTTTTAAGCTGGAATAGACACTTTGGTCTCATGTGGAGTCAGTTCGAAGTCTGTGACACTTCCCATAACTGTCCACATTCATTCATTATCCAGAAACAAACCTACTTTAGATACCGGAATCTTCTGAATACTTTATGTAGCTGTCTGACCTGCCCGGGCAGTATAGATCAAACCACAGTGCTCCTTTTAGGGCTACTGCATATTTTAGCAGTTTCCGTCCATTCAATAACGGTTTAAATTCACCTTGAAGACCAGCGAGGCCTCTTGTTCTGCATTAATGAGCAAACCATTGTGACTGAAGACACAAATTAATTTCTAATATTTTCCAACCAGCTTACTATTTTGTAAAAGTTATCAAGTGTAGCCTAACCATCTTTGAATGATTTTTTTAAAGATATTTATGCGAACATTTTTTACATTAAAAAAAAGATTGGTTCCAGATCTTATACATTTATCCTCTGTTGCTTTGGAGATGGAGATGCATAACTGGGATAACTTACGATGTGCATACAAGAGCAACACCACCACCAACAACTTGCAGGGTAGAATTTCAGAGCGCTTAACAGTGGTGGAGCCTGACTGCCGTGTTTCGTCCACAAAATATACAGTCAATTCACTTTGCAGTATATTCTGTGAAGCGCTTTGAGGCGTCTCAAAGATGTGATAAAGATTGCAAGGCTTACTATTATAAGGTTTATTATTTAATGCAGTTTCCAGATACAAGCTCCTATTTAGTGTGCGTTTGAGACACCTCAAAGCGCTTCAGAGATTATATTGTAAAGTGGATTAACTGTTTATTTTGTGGGTTTTTACCACGTCTCACCTCACATACACATTTTTTATTTTAAGGTTGACTTTAACTAATGAGTAAAATCATGATTTAAGTGCATGGTCAATATCACCCTAATAATAATAATAAGCTTTGCATTTCAAATAGTGCCTTTCCATATCATCGAGTTGTCTTTAATCGCTTGACAGGATTCACTGCAACATTTTCCTCCCCGCTCATACATACTGAATGGGTGACACTTAGTGTTCTCAGTGTTGTGTTATGCAATCAATATTAGCAAAAACCTAAGCTTTCTAAATGCACGTGATTAATACCCTTTACAGTAAAATTCAGTGAAGAGTTTTGAGATGTTTTGACAACATGGATCAGACTCTATATTAAATGCAGGGGTTATTGTGATTGCTTAAAGCTTCTGCCTTTTTCTATTGATCTCCTACCTGTTCCCATTGTTTTATGTTTTGCTTTTGTCTGATGAGTCCGTGATTAATTTTCCACTCAGTCTTTGAACGTCTTCTCGACCTGTCTCCAAGGTATTGTGGTCTTTCATTCAAATGCTGCGCAATTCAATTCAATTCAATTGGCAGTGGCTTCAGCTACTACGCCCAGAAACTCCGGAAATCTCTCCCTCTGTATAAGTGCAAGTTGTTGTTGTTGGTGTGCTCATTCTTGCCTGGGTATCCAACTCACAGACTCACTGACTCCCCTCCCAGTGAATCATGTTTTTTTTCTTAATGGAAAAGTTGGAGTCCTGTAGCTCAGTGGTTAGAGCACTCGCTTTGCGAGCGAGAGACCTGAGTTCAATTCCAGGCAGAGGGCGAAACCTGGGCAAGTTTCCTTACTCCACACAGAGCCTAATAATAATCCCTCCAAAACCCCAAAACAATAATAAATTGATCATTTTCAATCTACGACTGTTTGTGGGACATTGCTGTGCGCAATTGGCTGCCGCGTTCGCCGACAAATATACAGTCAATTCACTTTACTGTGTGTTCTGTGAAGCGCTTTGGGACGTCCTCCCGACGTGAAAAGCGCTATATCAAGTGCAAGGATTATTATTATTGTATGAATGGAACGGAGATTACCACAAGCCTGTCGCTTCGCAAAGGTTTTACACCAGGTGGCAGCATGTGCTACAAAATAACGCAGCAGTGTTTCCTACACGGAATGGTACTTGGTATTTTTTCAACGCCTTGTCCCACATCAGGCAACTTCGGAAGTGATTATTGTCAAAGCAAAGTCATTGTCTTTATAAGCTCTGAATCGACGAGTGAAATAGTACACTGCGGAAATGCTGACTGTTTCACTCCCATTCACTCCCGACATAATTTGTGTCTGCAGTATTTCTACGTCAACTGCTGTATCGCTACGGCGTAGGATAAACTGCAAATTTCCTAGATTAGCAGAGGAGCCGGCCTTTGAAAACAAGCCGAGTTGTGTAGATAATTGACAATTATGCATTTGTTTGCCCAGCTTCCTGGAGAGGAGTAAAACCGCTGTATAATCAAACTTGCATCGCTTCAGCAGACGGCGTAGAAATTCTGTCCAGCTCCTCTATGATCCGTGCTTGGCATGCATGGCAAGATCAGGTTTTATGCAGTATATCTGGTATTTCGGCATTAATATCTTACAAATATGTCACTTGAAAGTTGTGCGTAGTATAGCATCCAGTGTTTTTTTCGAACGGGAGCAAATTCAGTGAGTGCTGTCTGATATCAGAAGAGCCCAATGACTGAGCTTGATCCTATTTTCATCTATTTTCCCCACGTACTCAATTTTGCAGCGAGGGTAACTGGATACTGATAGAATGGGAACCTTGGCCGATCTTATCTTTCCCCCTCCTCTCCCTGGGTCACGGAGGCACACTGTTGTTTTGAACAAGGGTTTTGAACAAGGATTTTGAACATGGGATGCCTGTCCGTATCACACCATCCTAGAAAACCATTAAGAAAACTAGATTAGATATTCTGCACAGTAACATCCTTCAGACTTTTTCCTTCCTACATTAGATTTGGATGTTGCACCTCTGACATCAAAGTTCTTCATTACTTAGTTTTTTGACCCATAAACACAACTCAACCTTATGTGATAATAATAATAATAATAATAATCCTTGCATTTGATATAGCGCCTTATTACCTCATTCGGACATCGCAAAGGGCTTCACAGAATATACTGTAAAGTATATTTTGTATATTTTATGTGATCCTAACCGTTCTGCGAGGAGAGAGAAGCTGGGAGAAACAGAACTCGTAATAAGTTATAAAAATTGGGAAGATCGAAGTTGGAATTCCAGCCAGGAACGTGTGTGCTTAGTTGGTTTAGATTCTTTGATGTATAATTCACTAACTCTATCAACGCATACTGTGCTGAAATCATCCCAGAACAACACTCGTGTCTTTAATTTATAGTCAACAAGTCATTATTCCATGTGAAATCTTTGGGGATTCACAATAATGCAGTGAACCATGACTTATCTGTCTCTTGCTGTATTTTATCTGTTGCTGATGTATAACAACCAGGAATAATGACTTGGATACTGCGAGGGCTATTACCATTGATATATGCTGACTTTAGGGTGGAAGCAATGAAAATGCACTTGTTGATCTATTTCCTCTGGTTTGCTTAAACTAAAAATAATAAGAATAATTTCTGCATTTAATATAGCATCTTATCCTGTCGGGAAAACATCGAAAAGCACTTCACATCACTTTACTCCAAAGTGTAGCGTCTGAGTATTTATAGGCGGACAATGATAAAAGTACGATCGGACACAACATATCCAATTTATTTTTTAGTATATGTGTTGAGATTGCAATCTTATACAGTACTTTTCTGCAGCTCACATTCCATTCCATCACATTTATTGAAAGCAAACCTGTTTTTTTCTGTGCAATTTTACACATAAATCCGAGTATATATTTATATATTTATAGGTGTATATTCATGTGTTTTTTCATTGCTCCTTGAATGAAATAATGATAAGCACAATATATTTATGTTAGGATCAAAAGCAAATATCTAGACTATTAAATATTGATAAGATGTGTATACCTTTGAGATTTCTGCTGCACTTAAAACTATGCTTTATATAGCATCATTCAGTGCTCAAATACCACGCACAACGTGAAGTGAATATAATTGCATTAAAACTGTCCTATGAAATATGTAAAAAGTCTGAGGATTTTTTTAAACTAAAAAATTGATGCGTTGTAACGTGCAAATAAACAACAAGAAGTTGCTTTTATATACCACCCTTCATGCGGGGTAACTTGCATTTGCAGTTTGTGTTATTAGATATTTACAATAATAATGTTAATAATAATAGTGTTAATAATACTCGCAATTTGTGTTTAACTATCAGGTTCCTTTTTAATAGAAGATTCTTCCAAATAGGCACCACTAAGGCACTCAAACAGCCTTTGAGGAAGAGGATGCAATGTTTTTTTTCGGATGCCTGGAAACGATTATTTAAAACTACCTCCTGCTACTTGTGAAAGAAAAATATAGTTTGATTCATGATGGGAAAAAAAATAACCCTTGTAATTAGATACGGAGATGGCATCTCGCAAAAAAATATAGTTTTCTATATGTAATATATCCTGGTTGTGTGTGTGTGTGTGTGTGGTATATGTGTGTGGTGTGGGTCTGTGTTGGGGAATAGTGGAGGGGTGGAAACATGATTGAAGTAAGGAAAATTCCTGCTGAGGGCAGTGGTGCCTCAGCATTAAATTGACAGACAGACGAGCTGTGAGATCAGCACATTTCGAACGGAAGATTATTTCAAAGGCTTAGCAACAGCAGATGCCACTCTGACAGGCCTCAATGAGGAATCCGCAGTTCCACCTCGCCTTGGTCTGCGTCTTAATGCGTATACGGTCGCGCAGAATTCTGGAAGGTTTTTAAATCCGGCTTTTCGAGGACTGCAAGGAAAATCGGCTTCCAAGTGGGGTCTGAGAAGAGTGGTTAAACGATGTTTCAAACTGGCAGCGCGGTGTTAGCGTTATTCCATCTGCGTTTTCTTCATAAGCAAAACCGGTGGTAAGAATAAAGGCTTTCCCACCTCATCCCGTAGCTCAGTGGTTAGAGCACTTCGGAGCAAAAGACCTGGGTTCGATTCCCGGCAGGGCAACTTTCCTTACTCCGCACGCTTTATCCAGCAGTAAGTAGGAACCCGGCTGTTAGTCGATTGGCGGGTCGCTCTTCCGGGGTAATAACCCTTAAAAGAAAATAATAACTTGGTCACTCAATCCACGACTGTTTGTGGGGCAATGCTGTGCTCAATTGGTTGCCACGTTTCGCCCACAAACATACTGGCAATTCACTTGTACAGTATATTCCGTGAAGCGCTTTGAAGTGAAAAGCGCTATATGAAGTGCAAGGATTATTATTATTGCTTTAAACCCTTACCAACTATCAACTATCACTCAATCCATCCACGGCTGTTTGTGGGACACTGCTGTGCGCAATTGTCTACCGCGTTTTGCCCACAAAATACACAGTTAATCCATTTTACAGTACATTCTGTGAAGCGCTTTGAGACGTCTCAACGATGTGATAAGGCGCTGCATCAAATGCAAAAAAATTATCATTATTTATTATTTTAGTATTATTGTAAGCAATTTCAACTTCAGAAGAATTTAAATTATTCAGTCGATTCAAGAATTTTTGCACGGAATAAGTTCAGCATTGGATTTGTGACAGTGTGGGTGCCTTGTCTTTAATCCTGTCGCTGTATATATAATAAGACA